CAATCACGACACACTGGATAGCTGGCCAATCAGAGCACACCTCGCTTTTCCGATGAGCTTTGTAAAAATGTATGCATTTCAGAAAGGCGGGGCATAGAGGAGAAACAATAATGTACAGTATGTGGAAAATAATGTGTTTTTTTTACCTTAAACTGCATAAACACATTTCATTACACTAAATACACAAAATAATGTTCTTTTTAGCAACATCATATGACCCCTTTAAGAGTGCTCTCTATGGTTTTAGTCCACACCTGGTAATGTATAACAGCAGATCTGCATGTAAAGGGTCAGTGTCAGCATCAGGGTTGACCTTCTGACCCCACTCGCACACACTTTTTAGAGAAGAAGTGATGTTTTCGGAGATCTGGATGTCTGGCTGTGGATTAAAACAAGCTTTATTGTCCTTGTGGATTAATATAATGGCTGTTGTGTACATCATTAGGTCAAACAGCTATTATTACCTTTGGCTCTGTGAGAATGACCATACGGACAAGATGAACTCTTATATTGGCACCGAGAGTAACATCTCTAAGAAGCTCAGAGGCCTGCAAGAGTAGAAAAGATATTTAAACAACACAAAGTATCTTGGGTAGGCACTAACCCTATTCCATACATTGTACATGTCAAATTTATTTTATTTGAGTATGCATTTAAATCCAATGTCTTTTTTGTAACTGAAAATGTAGATTAAACACACACATACGATGTTGAGGTTGGTTAGGATGTATCTCTCAGTATCTTGCCTATGAGCATCATAGACATCTGGACCCACCACCACTGCTAGCTCCAGATGTGTGACCTCTGACCCCAGAGGTGTCCTCCGTAACCTGAACTGACCTAAGGCAGATGCAGATCACACAGTTGACACTTAATATAATTATCGTTAGTTTTGTAGTTATTGTTTTTGGAGTGACTGGGCATTAATTACTTCAAAAATTGTGTATTACATTTTAGAAAGCTCTAAGTTTGATCAAAGCAGCACTTTGTATAGTCTATGTACTGAACTTGATACTGAACTTGATTCGGTTTGTAGGCACAATTGCAGCTATACTGATGTTAAGACGAACAGCTTTATTGCAAGCATGATATTTCTTCTATTTAACAGTTCAATAAATAAATTGTAACTTTCAGTATCGCTGGTTATGTTGTCTGTTTTAGCTCCGCTAGCACTGCAGAAACATTGCGTGTTTTTGAGCAACAAACAGTTTAGTTCCTTGAAAGAATCAGTGTTTTGTTCAAATTGGTTAAATTGAATGAATCCATGTTTTAATTTAATCTGTTAAGTGAATGATTCAGATACTCACTCATAAAGACTTGCTCTGCATACAGATATGCCTACTATGTAGTAGACAAAAACCAGTATGTGAAATAAATAGTATGTCTGAATTAGTATTCATAAAACAGAAGGATTCCTAAGACAAAACGGATGACCTACTACTACCACCGAGATTATGAAGTGTGCATCTGACACTTTAAGTTACGTGACAATGAGAACATGGTATGTCCAAATTTCCTTCACACTACACACATTTGCAGTATGTTGGCATACTTCTTAAATGGTCGTGAAGTAAATTCAAATGTATTCAAAAGTAATACCTATACAGGCAGTATGTGATTTTGGACACAGCTTTGTTTTGTTCCTGAATGAATCAATGTTTTGAACTAATTATTTGACTGAATGATTCAAAGGACTCACTTATCAGTCAATGTCGCCATCTACTGGCGTAACAATGTAAAATGCAGAAAGTGCTCATTTTACAGCTGATAATTTTTAACTTAACACTGCATTTGGTGCTCCTATTGTGAATGATGAAACATCCATCAATGATTCTGTTACTTTCAACTGTGACGCTGATTTGAAACAATCTGTATTGTGTAAAGCGCTATATGAATAAAGTTTATTTGACTTGACTTGACTTGAACAGCACTTTGAATAGATGGACAAGCTCAATTGCAAAATGTTTTGCTGTGGACATCAGGCCAGTGATAGGCTTATGGTCAATGATATGTTACTGTATACTGTGTATATTTAACCAGTGCAATGTTCACTCACTCTTAGGCTGTTTAAGACGTGTCCTCACTGGTAATGTGTGGGTTAATAGCAGGTGAGGTACACCAGAAGGTAAATCCATAGTAAGCTCCTTCAGATGGTCTATGTGTTTTTGATGGACCGGTCGAATATTCAGCCTCTTTTTCCCTGACTGAATCAGACCTTGCTGAGGACAAATACAGACTATGATTAGAAATTTGTCTCCATATAGTACTGTATATGGACAAACACAAAGCACAGTAAAAAGCATCTTCTTACTAATTTGCCATGGCAGATGGGGAGAAGAGTTCTCGTATGCGCTGGTCTCAGTAACTTCAGCTGCTCGCAGCACATATCCTCCCTTTTCTTCATCACGCTGACCGTTGAGTTGATCACCGTCTCCAGACTCGTGGGACAGGACACGGGTTGTTCATCTCTGTGTTGGCCCAGCTCAAAGCTCTCTCCATCACTCTGAAACGAGCATCTCCATAGCCCTCTGAAAGACTCATTCCCTGAGCAATTCACCCACACCAGCTCAAAGTGAGGCACTGAAGAGAACAAACTACTAATGTCAGGGTGTTTACATGTTTAGTTAAAACAAACAGACTTTTTCAAGTCTTTTAAAAGCTCTAATTTGTATTTATGAACCTATTTTGACTCCTCATTCGTGACTAGTATTTCTCAATATCCGTGAATCAGACTCACCTGATTTAACGGAAATAGTATCAAAATAATAAAATAAATCTTGAGGTTTCAGAGACTCTAAAAAATCCTGGCAAGAAAAAAACAAAAATTAAATGAGATTTAATTAATTAATTAATACAATGGTTATATTGCACATAAATACTATAAAGTTTCCATCACAAAAGGCAAAGTTTAATTCATTTAATAAATTAACACTTCCGTTCAGTTTGAGGTCATTAAAAGAAAGATATTAATTAACTTATACTGAGCAAGAATGATCAACTGTTATTATTTTCTTCTTCTTCTTCTTCTTATTATTATTCTTTTGAACTTTCTATTCATCAAAAAAGTCTGAAAACATACAGTTTCCACAAAAAAAATATTAAGCAGCTCATCTGTTTTCAACACTGCTAATAATAAGAAATGTTTCTTGAGCAGCAAATCAACATAGCTTTGACATCAGGAATAAATTACGTTTTAAAATATATTAAAATAGAAAACTCCTATTTTAAACTGCAATAATATTTCACACTATTACTGTTTTAACTGTACTGTAATTAAATACTGTATTTTTTGTACCCTTTTTGTATCAAATAAATGATGCCTTTGTGAACGGAAGAGACATCTTTAAAAAATTTAATTCTATATATATATATATATA